GACAATGAACGGGCGCGCATTCTTAAAGCAAACTACTCAAGCGATACACGGATTATTTAGATCGCGCCGCCAAAGCAAAACCAGTCTACTAAATTCAATCGGATTTTCCAAATTCGGTGCCATTTTTTCTCAGTCCCAGATCCCATCAAACGGCGATTTGAGTGCTGGAACAAATCGTGCCCGAGGCTGCTCATCATCCTAGAGCGCGCGGCCATGGCGCGCCGGGCGGCGGCGCGCATCGATGCGAACGCCTGCAAGAACCTGCTCGGGGGCGCCGAGAGTCTGGGCGACGAGGCTGCGCCATCCAGGCCTCGGACCCGCGATCAGAGACCTTCCTCTCGAGTTCTGAAGGCCTCCAGCGGGGCGCGGTTTCCGGCGGGGAAGTGGCGGGGGCCAGACGGCGTAGGCACCGGGGAGACCGAGCAGCCCGCGCGCGCGCCCCGAGATGCCCACGCGCCGCCGGAGCAACGCCAGGACCTTCTGATGGGCGCGCGACGATTGCCAGATGCGCTGGACGAGGCTCTCCGTCGAGGGCTTCATCGGCGTGGGCGCGCCATGCCACCGGGAACGGGCGACGTTCGGGATGCGCGTGGGCCGCGCATTCAAGGAAGTCTACGAGGCGGACTTCCAGCGCTGCGAGCGGCGTATGAAGACACGCGAGTCAGGCGAGCCAGTGACGCGTCAAGGACGCAGACGCCCTTCGGCGCGCGCCGCCCAACGCGAGATGCAAGAGAACATCGTGGGCGGGGGCCGTTTCGAGACGATCGTGTCATCCGAAGGATTCGCTTGCTCGAGATGTCGACCGCGGTGGCTGGGCGCGTGCCCGAGTGGATCGCGAGCCCCGCGACCGGCCGTTCACCCCTGGCGACTCCGTCGGCCCACCTTCTGCAGGCGATTTTGCCAATGAGCGGATTACAGAGGTTGTCTACTCAGATGGCACTACCGACTGCATTCAGGATGCTTGGTCTGGCCCTTCCTGCGGCCACGCCCCGGCCAGGGGGTGGGCCAGCCGCGCCTTCTTGCACCGCCAAGTTGCTACTAACGCGGCGTTCGCCCGCGCCTTGCTGGCGAGCATATGTCCCCGGAGTACTTGCCTCGGTCAGGGTGGGCAGCTTATCTCTTCAGACGCTGCCAATGTGAGCCTGGCTGGCCCAGCATTTAGCATGCGCGGGGCCGCGCTTCGAGGCGCCCCGGGTGGATCTCGGCAGCGCGCCACTTCGCAGGGCTCGGTTGTAGCGGCCGAGGCTCGCGAGGGACATTGGCGATTGATTTTGTGGCAGACCACCAGTGGGGCATATATTTCATCTTAGGAGCTCGACGAGGGCGGCACTGGCACGATTCCTCATCAGCACGCAGATCAGATCAAGATGGCACTTTCAGTGGACAACACCAGTCTCAGTCGTCCTTTGGAAGCCGCCCCTGAAGAAGGTGAGCCAGGATAGATTATTGTTGACGACCCCGGCGCGGAAACTGACGGCGATGATGAAGCGCCCGTTCAGCCCGACTGGGCACCTGCGACGGGCCAGCTAACCAATCTCGAGCTTGCTCACGACAGTGCTGGCCACCCTGACAATCGAGATGCTGCTCGGCTTCTGAGGCGGGGCATAGCTAAGCCTGAAGTAGCACGCTGGGTATTCAAAAACTTCATGTGCGACGAGTGCGATGCGCGCGAACGGCCCCATGCTTGCCGCCGCGCTGCTGTCCCCAAGTCGCATCAATTCAATCAACTTGCTGGCATTGATGATGATGCGCCGCATTTCCGGCCCATATTATCTGTTGGGGCGCGTCTATTCAGTTGGTTGGACTTGTCGGGGCAGGGAAGTTAGCATATGTCATATGGCAAGCACTTGCACGCGCACGGGCGCGTGTTTTTGGTATGCCGGAAGTTGTTGCCGTAGATCCTGGAACGGAGTTCCAGGGACTGGGGCGCGTCTGTTCCCGACGGACGCTCGCGCTCCATGTCAGAACGGTCGCACGGAACGCGCCGGAAAATAATGGAAACGACAGCTCAGTTTAGCCGTTCATAAAGTAGCTCCGGATAGTCTAGCTGAGTATTTCGCTATGTGGGAGTTGTGTTGCTCTGTCCGAAACTGCGCCGTAAGCGGAGCGGGCTTTCACTTATGCAGCGGGTTTTCGGTTTCGCGCAACGCTTGCCAGCGACGCTGCTCTCCGAGGGCCCCATGGATCCCGAGCGCTTGTCTACTGATCCAGTGCAAGACCTCCACCGAGCTGAAGACCTACGCCGGGCCGCTATGGAAACCTGGACTGCCATGGATACTCGAGGGCGGCTACTCCGAGTCCTCCGCGCACGACATCGCACACCCCCAACTTTCGCCGAAGGCCAACTCGTGACTGCATGGGAATAGGGGCGATTGAGCTCGGGGAAATGGCTCGGGCCTGGTGCGATGATTATACCCGCTTCTGGCGGGGCCTGGATCAACGTGCGCGGAGCGTTGTGGCGCGCGCCAAATGAACAAATGCGCAGTGTCACTCAGGATCGAAACATGATGGACCCACGAACCCGGAAAGGGATATAGACATGTGGAGCATGGACACGTTCTCATGATACCCAACGGGGCAACACCTCACGAAACATCCCACGAGACACCTCACGAAACATCCCACGAGACACCTCACGAAACATTCCGCGAGACACCTCACGAAACATTCCACGAGACACCCCGCGAAACATTCCACGAGACACCCCACGAAACATTCCACGACGACAGGCAACCACTCAACCAAGGCGGTGTGGTCGTGCTGGGGAGTGGTCGTGCTGGGGTGTGGTCGTGCTGGGGGGTGGTCGTGCTGGGGGGTGGTCGTGCTGGGGGGGTGGTCGTGCTGGGGGGTGGTGTGCTGGGGCGTGGTCGTGCTGGGGCGTGGTCGTGCTGGGGCGTGGTCGTGCTGGGGTGTGGTCGTGCTGTGGTGAGGTCGTGCTGGGGTGTGGTCGTGCTGGGGTGTGGTCTTGCTAGGGTGTGGTCGTGCTGGGGTGTGGTCGTGCTGGGGTGTGGTCGTGCTGGGGTGTGGTCGTGCTGGGGGGTGGTCGTGCTGGGGCGTGGTCGTGCTGGGGCGTGGTCGTGCTGGGGTGTGGTCGTGCTGTGGTGAGGTCGTGCTGGGGTGTGGTCGTGCTGGGGTGTGGTCTTGCTGGGATAGGGTCGTGCTGGGGCGTGGTCGTGCTGGGGCGTGGTCGTGCTGGGGCGTGGTCGTGCTGGGGTGTGGTCGTGCTGTGGTGAGGTCGTGCTGGGGTGTGGTCGTGCTGGGGTGTGGTGAGGTCGGGATTTCAAAAACAAGCGTTTCGCTCGAGACATCCTCAAATTTTAATTCGCCGGCCTCAAAAACAAGCGTTTCGCTCGAGACATCCTCAAATTTTAATTCGCCGGCGCTCAAAAACAAGCGTTTCGCTCGAGACATCCTCAAATTTTAATTCTCGGGCTCGTTATTTATCAGGGAAAAATTCGCCGGCCTCCTTCGACCTCGTTATTTATCAGGGAAAAAATTCGCCGGCCTCCTTCAAGCAGGCACCGGGGGACTAAGTTTACAAACTAAAAGAGAACCCTGGGCTTAAGCCCTTTCCGGGAAAAGAGACACCGAGATGGTTACTCGTTATCTTCGCGACCTCAAGTTTGACCTCGAGCGCCCGCGTGGCGCTCGTCGTCACGGCGAAGGCAACCCAGGATTTCCTGGAGACGAACCTCTACATGACCCTGAAGCAGCAGAAGCTGATGAGGTTCCCTACGATGCATACTTTGACGCAGATCGGGAGCCACAACTGCCACAACCAGGAACCTGAAATACAGCCAATGGCGGAAAACTGCGATGAATCTGGTTTGGCACGTACAGCGCTTCAGAGTGTTGCGCGACAAGTGCGACTTCGTTTGGGCACCGCATCCTCTGCTGAACCGCAGCGCGAGCCGGGATCGCGACAGCCCTTTGTGGCGGATGCGCCGGGGGGAACCTCAGGCGCAGCCGCGCGAGGCTCGGGCATGCCCTGGCCCGCGAATGCGGCTTCCTACTTACCGCCGCCAGCGTCAACTACGATGGCACCTTCTACGTTTCCATCTGCGGACTCCGCAGGTGAACTGGTTGCCTACAGCGTGGACAGCAGTCGTAGGGGGGCCTCTTGAGGGCCTCCTTGGTGATTCTGGGCGCCTTCCTTGTAGTGCTGGGCGCCCCTTCGGGCTCTCTTGGGGTTGTCTCGGCCCCCGTGGCTCAAAAAAGTGTGTCAGAAATTCCCTTCAAACCCCCTCGGAGGTTCCACGATGGCCTCTTGAGGCCATATTGGTGCGCTTTTGGGCGTCTCTTGGGCGCTCTTGGGGCTGTCTTGGGGCAGTCCTGGGCCCGTGTTGGGGCTCTCTCGGGCCATCTTGGGGCCATATTGAGGCCCAAGAGGCTCATCGGAATCGAAACAGCGAGAAGTCAAAAACATTGATTGTCCTTAGGTTTTGAAGGATTTGGGCATCTTGGGTGGTGCCCTGGGAGGCTCGAAGGCCAGTTGGAACCGCCTTCGGGCTGTCTTTGGGATCTTGGAGGCATGCCGGAGGTTATCTTGAGGGATGTTGAGGTATCTTGAACCATCTTGGAGGCCGTCTTGGGTTGCCGAGGGCCCTCTTGGAGCCATCTGGGGCCATCTTGGGCGCACTGACGGCTCCACCCGCCGCCCTCGTAGGCCCCGGGGAGGGTGTAGGGGGAGTGGTAAGCCCTTCCCGCGAGCAGGGGCAGGAGGGGTTGTGACAGGGAGTTCCGCAAGACCACTCAGCCCAGAGGGCTGGTGGGATTTGTTCTGGACCCCCCCCCTTGGGTCCATCCTCGCAGCTTGTCCCACCTGGGTCGGCAATGGATGTTCCAGAGCCAAGAACGAGCTCACGGAAACCAATTTCGGTGAAGGACTTCCGCATTTGTCGATACGTCTTCTCCCCTCCTGTTCCTAATCTTCGACCCCCTTCTCCTGCTTCTACCTCCTCCCTCCTTCGTCCTCTCCGACCTGCGCGCGCGGCGGCCAGGAAGCCAACCCGCAAAAAGAGTCGGCCGACCTGTGCAGGAGGGGCTGAGGCGGCAGCGCCCCAGGCCGCCTGCACAGACGAGCCAGTCCCGGGGGAGGGGGGCCTGCGGCTGCTGCGGGCGGGGGAGGAGAGAAGAGGGAGGAGGAGTCCGGAGAGGGAGGACCCGCCCTCCATCCGTGAAATTGGTTCGCATTTTAATTTTAAGGACCTAAGGACCATAAATGGTGTGGAAGTCTCAGGCGAAACGCAAAAACCGCCCTACCGAAACGTCTCGGGGTGCGACAGGGAGGAGGGAGGAGTTGCTTGTAAGAATAAGGATTGGAGGCAGAGGAGGAAGCGGGAGGGAGGGAGGAGGAGGAGGAGAGGGAGGAGGAGGAGGAGGACGACGACGACGACGAGGAGGAGGAGGACGAGGAGGAGGAGGAGAAGGAGGAGGGGGAGGAGGAGGGAGAGGAGTTTTTGTGTGAGTGGATGAGTGAGTGAGTGAGCGGGATGAGGAGCAGCAGGAGCTTTCCCCACCTGCTTATGTACGTGCCCACATTCTTAGTTTCTCACCTACCCATCCTCACCCTTCTTCCTCCCCCTCTTTTCATCATCCTGATTTTCTTCCTAACTCATAATCAGCATCATAAGAATCCTCATTGACCGTTTCATCATCCTGATTTTCCCTTACCTCCTCCTCCTATTCCTCGTGATCCTCCTCCTTCTCTTCATCCCTCCCTCCCTCCATCCCAGCCGATTCTCTTCCCGTTGGGGAAGTGAAGGGGGCGAAGTTTGCTGCGTGCAGTTGGTTTCGGCTTCGCCGTCAGCCTCTTCCTTCGATACACGGGCGCCTCCGGCGCTTGGAGGCGCCAGGGCAACCAGCGGCATGGGGCTAAGCCGCTAGAAGCCCCTCTTTGCTGTCCCCACCCCCCTCCCTAGGCATCTTCCTTTTTATATGGCCCCCCCTTTTTACAATGTGGTCCAAGGGCCCGAAATCTGGGAAAACCATTCGGATTGAAAGAGCACGCACACACACACACACACACACACACACACACACACACACACACACACACACACACACACACACACACACACACACACACACACACACACACACGCACGCACACACACACACACACACACTCACACACGCACACGCACACGCACGCACACGCACACACACACACACACACACACGCACACGCACACGCACACGCAAACGCACACGCACACGGGTTGCGAAAGAAAGCGCACAACGCACACGCACCACACACAACACACACACAACACACACACACACACACACACACACACACACACACACACACACACACACACACACACACACACACACACACACACACACAACACACACAGGTCTGAGATTTGGGTCCTCGTTCGCGCCGAGAAGAGGGCAGTTCCCTCCCCCCGTCCAATGGGAGGCGGAGGTTGGCGAGCGGGGCTGCGACTCGGGCGCGCTGGCCGACGGCGGCGAAGCCGCCGAGGCCGCCGCCGCTGCGGCCGCAGGAGCTCGACGCTGGCGCTGGGCTGGGCTGGGCGGGGGGCTCCTCGCGGGAGGGCCTCCCTGGAAGTCTTGGCGTCTGAGTTTTTTCGAGCCGGACGTTGTCGCTGGAGTGGGGCTTAGAGTCAGAGCGCCCTCCTCTGCAGGACCACTGAACATGATGGACCCACGAACCCGGAAAGGGATATAGACATGTGGAGCATGGGCACGTTTTCACGATACCCAACGGGGCAACACCTCACGAAACATCCCACGAGACACATCACGAAACATCCCACGAGACACCTCACGAAACATTCCGCGAGACACCTCACGAAACATTCCACGAGACACCCCGCGAAACATTCCACGAGACACCCCACGAAACATTCCACGAAGACAGGCAACCACTCAACCAAGGCGGTGTGGTCGTGCTGGGGAGTGGTCGTGCTGGGGTGTGGTCGTGCTGGGGGGTGGTCGTGCTGGGGGGTGGTCGTGCTGGGGATGTAGTCGTGCTGGGGCGTGGTCGTGCTGGTGCGTGGTCGTGCTGG